TTTTTTTTTTTTTTTTTTTTTCATTTCACCTTTTTTTTTTACGCAAAAACTTTACCGTTGTGTTTTATTTTGCTTCGAACGTAGAGTCATTCTGAGTTGAACACAAAAAAGGTGTGCGCCAGTATGTGCTGGGGTTATGGCAAGGGTATGCCCAAGGTATTATTGTACATATTTTAGTGTGTTCATGTGGATGGCGCTTTGGTGTTGCTGCTACGCCGCTTTAAAAGATATTTCAAGCATGCGTGGGAACCCTTTGCACGCATTTCCTCCTCACACTGAAGAGGAGAGGCATCATGTGAGGGGGGGGCCACATTTTACAAAATAGCCTTTTTTGGGCCTAAGTATTCCTGGCGAAATGCTTTTCTTTACGCTTGTGCAAAATGAGCGAGACCGAAAGGGATTGAGTACACGCACGTGCGGCGATATGCCAAGAACTGTTCACCATTACCACTTATTGTTCGATTCGTAAAGAGGTAGTTGACTGCTTCTTATCTGTGTGGCTTTTCCAACCTGGAAACAGAAGAAGATCGGGCCAGGTGACGCGTAATACGTAACGCATTCATGGGTTATGTAAACGGAACCGTTCGCCTTAGCACCGTTAGCAAGTTGGTGTATATTTTCTTAATGCACCTTTCGTGAGGTTGCCACGCAGGACGGAAAAAAAAAAAAAAAAAGTATACCTAACACGGTAGTCATAATAGCGATGGGAGTTGCTGGCTGAACAGATTAGCAGTCGCCCTTTTGTTCAACAGCGCCAGTTTGTCTAATGGTCCATTTGCGCACGCGTGGTGTGGACGCACATCCCATACATCCATACATAACACCTTCACATTGCTATTCCCTCCATCAGGTAATAATAAAAAGGCTGATATGAAGAAGTACAAATTGCCGAACCTAGAAACACCTATAACATCAATTCAAGTCCATTCAGTCATGCTCCAAGATGACACCGTTATTTATACGAGCAAAGATTATTCAATACAGAAAGACATTCCAGGTCAGTTGCATAAATATTGGGTCCAACAAATGCCTGTTCACTCAAACATAGTCAACTGTACAACAGTGAAGCGTCCTCAAATTGGGATGCATCTTTTCTCACTTTAAAACTGTTCATAAATAGCATAATTGCGCAGAGCATACACTGAGAAGCGAAGCTGATTAACAATTTAATTTTTCATTTGCTAATTTTTTTTTTTTTTTTTTTTTTTTTTTCATTTCACCTT